ATGGGTTCCAGAGAAACCTTCCTGAATTACCAAATTTTCTTAGGGAATTACTGAACTAAAACATCACATGAAAGGAACAAACCAATTTCCCTTATTTTTACTTCAAACAGCACATTATTTCCAGAAAGTTCCCTCTATTCTTTGTATATTAATTTGCACGGTCTTTGTCCTGGTTTCCTGGCATGGAGCATCTAAAAATCTTGGAATTTCCCCAGTTACAGGAGTACCTGCTATTCATGAATCCCTTGCATCACACCTGAGTTTGTCTAAGGGGCAAGGTGAGAAAAGCAGCTGGTCACCACATGATTAGAGGGTTGAGGTTTTGAGACAGTCAAACCTCTAAGGAGTAATCAAGAAGCTAAAAACTGAATGAAATGCCAATAAAAACCTCAGTGGAGCTTCCTTATTGGTGAACACATCAATGTTCTAGGGGGAGATAGCCTGATTCCATGGGAAGAGGATATGGGGTGTCTTAAATTTAGGACACTCACTCCATGTCATATCATATGGCTAGTCTTGATCTGGATCCTTTAAAATAAAACAGTAATCATACACATAGTGCATCATAGCTCTGTGAGCCATTCTAGTGAATTACCAATTCTGAGGCAGTCAAGTTTGTAGCCAGTTGGTTAGAAGTGTGGTTAGACTAAGACCCCAAAGTGTAGCTGTTTTCTGAAATAAGAGCAGTCTGTAGAAGACCAAGCCCAGATTTGAGAAGTCTATGTTACTCTGGGTAGTTAGTGCCAGAATTTAATTGCAGTACATAAGTTAGTGTCAGAATAGTTGACTTAATGATCACTTTAGAAATTATTTCAACTGCGAAAATCTTAGCTTTACCAAGGAGAATATAAAGCAGCACTCATGCTTCCATCATAAGTTTTAAGTGCTATTACTGAGAGGGGCCCCACAATCAACCGCCCATAGGGATCAGCACCATCTCTCTTACCTGTTCATAGAGGTCAATGAGGGTTTTATCTGGTAATTTCAGAGACTGTATAGCCTGTAAAACAGTATCCCAATGTCCACTATTAATGTCAGCCACAAAACTCTCAATGCTGTCCACGGTATTCAGAGACACAGTTGTTTCTTCCTGTAAAGTGGCTAATGCCCGATGTAAACTGTTCTCCTTCAGATACTGCATGATAAGACGGATCACACTGGGGAAAGAAAAAGAGGTAATTCAGCTCAGGGATTCTCCCTCATTTAAAAAACCACAAAGTAAAGCCCATCCCCATTTACTCTCCCAACTCAACAATCCTCCTTTCACTGTCTACTTTCTATTTCATTACTATTAAGTGAAACTTACTTTAAAAAAAACAAAAACATAGAATCTAAATTTAAAGGACCTTGGGGATAATTCAGTCCTACCTTCATCTCAGAAGTAAGAGATCTGGAATTTAGAAAAAAACAATCTGTCCAGGGCCTCACAGTCAACTAGGGTTAGTATCAAAAACGACACTTTTACTTCTAAGGCTAGAGAGCTTATCATTATGCTTAGCATCTTATTTTACTGTAGGATGATTTGGTCCATTTTTAAGTGACAATCAAAACTTTGGCAATTTTAATGGAGATTTGTTAAGCAAATATACTCCATGGAAAAGCAAAACAAAGCTGTGTCCTCACTGGCAAAAATACCACTTACCTACTTACTATACCAAAATTTCAAAACAAGTGAAATTAAAACACCATTGAGTTTTCAAGAAAGAGGACACAATTTCCATGGTGAAAATAAGCAATCATTTTCTTTTTTCCCCAAGATTTACTTATTATTTATGCACACAAAACCTGGGGTACAGGCCATAGAAGAGGGGCGGTGAAAGGATTCACCAGAGACAGTGGGGAGCAGAAGAGGAAGATCGCAACAAGTACACTGATCAGGGGAGCAACAGGCGGGTGAGAAGAGGTGTTGAGGCGGCTGTGGACAGCTTCACAGTGCTGCGCTTTAACCCGTTGAGCCACCTGAGAGGGCCCTAAGCAATCGTTTTCAACATGTGACAGAAAACTTATGAGTTATTTATATTCAATTAACACTTCTTGATTGTGGGTATAACCATGAGTCTGAAGAATATGTGAATATAGATTTTAACAGTTCACTCTTAAAATTACATACATGGCTCACAATGACTTCCAAATGGATAGTATTTGTGTAGAGGGTCAAAGTGCCTTAAAGGGATTTTAGATTAGAATTGGGCCAATTCCCTTTCCCGGGGGAGAAATAATAATCGTTAAACAATATGCAGAATTGTTTATTATATACCAGGTATGATTCTGAGCATTTCAAATGTACTGATTCATTTAATCTTCAAAACAACCTATGAAGTAGGTACTACTTCATTTTCATTTTACCAACAAAGACTTGACCAAATAAACAATGGAAATACGTGGCAGTGTGGCTCTTGAGCACATATTCCTAATAGGAAAACAAAGACCCTCTTCTAAAACTCCTGCAGGGGCCCACCCTGGTGGAGCAACAGGTGAAAGCACAGCACTATAAAGCTATCCGCAGCCACTGCAGCACAGAGTTCAATCCCTGGCCAGGGAGGAGACCCAAATGGCCAAGCAGGCCTCTCCTGAACACCTGCTGCTCCTGTCAGGGAGCCTGTTCTGCTCACCACTCTGTCTCTGGTAAATCCTCTCACCCCCTGCACCTCTGCCCTGTACTCTAGTTCTTGCATAAATAAATAATCTTTTAAAAAATTAAAAAAAAAAAAGTAAATCTCCTGCAGAAGAGAAGTGCTCCTCACAGTTGTCTTTTCTCATAGCCCCACCAGGAGATACCCAGGCTTAGATCCCTGCTATTCTAGTGCCATGCTACCTTCCTTAGCACACATCCATAAATGTCCCTGCAGACATCTCATATTTGACATAGCCAAAATCACACATATTTCCATCAAACACAATGCAATACAAGATTTGATTTAAAGATTTATGATACTTTGATTATGGAACAAGTTGACTAATGTATCTGCAACTTATTCCCTCATCTATTAAGAAAACTACTTAGCCTGTAAGATTGGTGAAAAGGATGAGTATATGCTTATAATAGAATGAAGGAGGGCAATACTTAAAAAACAAAAGCTGGGACCCTCCTGGTGGCGCAGCGGGTTAAAAGCACTGCACTGAGAATCTAAAGCCGCTTCTGCATGAGTTCGATTCCCGCCTGCCCCGGAGGTGACCACATGGTGTGGCAGACCTCTCCTGACCTGCCCTCTGCTCCCCTCAGCAGTGTACTTCGTCAGCTGGCCTGTTCTGCTCCCCACTCTGTCTCTGGTGAATTTTCTCACCACCCCTGCATCTCTGGCCTGGACCCCACTTCTGTATGCATAAATAAGTATTAAAAAAAATAAAGCTACCACTGATAATTAAAAACAATCAGCACCACACGGCTGAGAATGGTTGGTATCAGCTATTATTCAGTCACAACTCCTGGATTAGTTGTACTAATTGCCAGCACACTCTATCACCCTTCCCACTTTATTTTTCTCCACCACACTTAACCATCTGTTAAGCTTCCTGTTTTACTAATTGCTTGTTATAATTAACCAATCATATTTTGCATTCTATAAGAACAGGGGTTTCTGTCTTGTTTTGTTCATTATTGTATTTCCAGGTTCTAAAACAGCAAACACTACACTTCAATACTTGTTGGGTGACTAAACCTCCCTTCTTCCCATGGTAAGTCCTCGGGAGAACTTACATTGGCTTACTTACATTCAATACATTCATAATATACAATTGTTATGTCTGATGATTTAATAAGTGTTGGCAAGATGGGGGGGGTTAGTTGTAGTGTTTTGAAGTTCACTAAAGACCTTCTTTAGTCACTCATTAGTCTCCTTCCGCTCCACACACACACAATAAAAAAAACAAACTATCTCTTTCCTAGCCCAATCTTCAGCTTCTGTCTCACCTTTGTAGCTACCCAGAGTTCACAGACTAATCAAAATTCAGCACCAAATAGTATGCTCAAATAGCTAATCCTTAACTCATTCCAAAGGCACGAGTCAGGACTATATGGGAAATTACCCCAAAGTGCAAACACAAGCTGGAAGGGCGGTAAAAAGACTTATTTAAATGGATGAGTACTAGGCAGAAAGCCACGGGGGCCCTGTCAGCAGGGGAGGTATTGAATCACCCTGCCTAAGGGAAGCAAGAGCGCCCAAGCTCCCTTGACACATAAACAGACTGAAATCGGAGTAGGCACCAGATTGGTGTGGGTCGAACCAATTCAGATTCTCAAGATATGTTCTTCCCAACACCTCCCAGAGACCCTTAGTTGCGACTTCTTGGGGACCCGGCTCTGCGCTGGCCAGTCCACGAAGCTTCTTTGCGGACAAGGAAAGGTCCCTCCACGCCGCAGCCTCTTGGACTCAGTCCCTGAGCACCTTCCACCCCACGCCCTCTGCCACCGCAATTTGGCGAATATCCGCCCCCGCGGGACTCACTCCGAGGACTCGATTTCGATCGACATAGCGGTATCTTTCAGGGCGCAGGCCCCACTCCCCTCTTAGGCCCAAGCGCGCAACACACAGCGACACTTCCGGCAGCCGCGCGGGGTCACTTCCGCTCGACGTACGACTCCCGCTCGGGAGGCGGTGCTGCGTACGGAAGAGGGGCGGGGAGTACGTGAGGGGCGGAACCTTGAGGGGTTGTCAACAGTCTTCAACTTTGAGGCTGCTCGTGAGAATTCTCTAACCTTTCCTTCCTTAAGGAAGATTTCTGCTTAGAAGCACTAGTGTGGACATTTTTCTTTCATTTGATGCAGTTAACTGATTAGATTTAAAGGTAGGGTTGAATTTGCTGTGCCTGACTGGGAGATTATTATGAAACCGGAAAATACTAGCCAACATTTGTAGAAGAGTTCAGTGAATAAATCAGCAAAAAATACTTTGACGCCAGAACACAATTTAGTCAACCTAATTATGAAAAACTTGGGGCCCGTTAGAATTTGCATACCCATTTCTTGGAAAGAGCTATATTATTTATAGATTTTCCCACTGAGTAGTTTCGAAGTGTTTCGGGCAATTGTGCAGTTACTGGAAAATCAATGAAACCAAATACAAATGTGTAAATTTGAGACTCCTATTAATAGGCTTTTAACCATGTTTTTTTAAATTAGTAGATCCAAAGTGTAAAGATATGACTTTCATAAATAGGCTATTTTTAAAATTCCTTATTGCCATCCTATATAAACTTTTAAAAAATATTTGTAACATGGCGCTAAGAAATGTATGCTGTGAAAATTACATATATTAGAAAATTACCTATCTCGCTGTCCCTTAAGATCTGCTGCACAACTCCCCAGCAGTGTCTTCCAGTCAGCGTTTTTCCAATCTTTTTCTAGTGCTTATTAACTCTTGGAGGACGTGGCTTACAAGATCTGACGAATCTTAGAATCTAAATGTTTGCTCCACCGTGTGGTGGGATAACTAGGTCAGTATGATTTCTGAGAAATCCTTTCACTTAACCATGCTATGACACATCATAGAAAAAATTTTTAAATTTATTTATTTGTGCATAAAGAACTGGGGTGCAGGCCAGAGGTACAGGGTTGGTGAGAAGATTCACCAGAGACAGAGTGGGGAACAGAACAGGCAGACTGATGAAATACACTGCTGATGGCAGTGGGCAGGTCAGGAGAGATCTGCCCTGCCCTGTGGGTCACCTCCGGGATAGGGCTGGGGCTCAAACTCAAACCAAGGCTGCTTTGGGCAGCTTCACAGTACTATGTGTTAACCCTTTGCACCACCAGGAAGGGCCCACAACACAGAAAATTCTAACACTTCCTTGAAAAGGAGGCCCAGCTCATTTTCAACAATAGTATATATATTCACTTCTTCTACCTAGTACTTTTTTTTTTACTCCAATTAAGATTACTTTCCTGTTTTGCTTATATAAAAATATCTTAACTATAATTACTTAAAAGCTAGATTTTAGTTTGGTGTCATCCACAACTTTGCTCCTATTTCTTGGGAGCTTCATTTGTTATGACTCCTATTAAATCCAAACTTGTTCATTATACATAGATACAAGTGTCTCATTGCTTTATTGTCTTTAATTCTAATGCCCAAGGATTTAAATATTTAAGTATACATGTTACTATATTTTATAACAAACTAGTTTGATTATTCCTATATAGTAAGCATTATACAAATTTTAATTATGTGATTATTGCATTGCATACACATGAATTTTGGGATACCAAAGAAAAAGTCACAAAATATCTGGAAGGCTTTGAGCCTAATATTACTAAAAACATATTGGGGTGATTTTCATCAAAAGTGACTCCAACCTAATAATTCCAGTCTCATATATTTTTTTAATTTTCTATTTTAAACCATTGAGAGATACTTTAGAAAATAATTTCTTGCAATAAAGTAACATTTCTGTAAAGTACCACAACTCCTTTGGTTTCATTTCAGTTTCTTTGTTTTGAGTCAATTATAAATACAATGAAAAAGGTTATTCTTTTCTCAAAAAAAAAATAGCATCTATTATATGGTCCTATTTTGTGAAAGCACAGGTACAGTTCCTTACCTACAATTCTGAAATCTCAAAAACTGTGAAAATTAAAGATATTTTTAAGCTACTTAGCAGCAAAGCCTGTCCCAAATAAAGGGAATATACATAGTCATTTAAGTAACTCTAATGTGAATATTCATTTTCAGAAATGTTTAGCTAATTATGCAGTACTTCCTCATTCTTACTTGTAGTATATACATCATGTACACCATATTATTTTTCCAAAATATAAAAAATGTTAAATTCTAAAACATGTTGATCCTCAAGATTTTTATCAGAAAAGTATTGTGAACCTGAACCTGTTCTGTACATGTATATGTATGTATGTTTCCATCTAACCTTCTATTGTATGTATACATAAGGGCTTTACCTTATGTATACATAAGGATATTCACCTCACATCATCTGAGTGGCAAAATTCGAACTAATATCTTATTCCCTTCACTTTACTCTTCTGCACCATTAAAATTCCTTTCAGATGCATGTTAAAATATATATATTTTTAACTTAAAGGAGAAAAGTCATACACCTAAAGATGTAAAGCTCAGTTATCTGAAAATTTAACTTGTGTTGGAAAAATTTAGTCTCTGAGGATTCTAATTTCAGAGGAAAATAATACCTGTAAGTTTAAGAAAAAAAAAAGGTGTCAGGGATGAGGAGTGTAAACTGTAATATTTGCATTGCCTAGCGCTTGAGAAAATCCCTGATACCAGGTGGCCTTTTTGAAGTCAAAACTTGTTCTTTGCTGATATATCTTTGGTTTATGCATCATGACCATCAGATCATCAGATGCTTTTCTTGAGAAATGAAACCAGCATAGAGCAGTCACAGCTGCTTTGCATCTTAGATGTAATGTATTTTTAATCTCTGATTGAGATCACTGCCCTGGGATCAAAAACCTTTTCATCTGTTTCTTCTGCAATAATGAAAAATGAACTGAATATGATCTTTTGTTAACATATATAATAAAATGCAATCTTTACCTAGTTAGGGAGATTTTGTTCCCCTAAATTAGCTGCTTATATAAATCTTCCATATCCTAATTATATATAATCAGTCAATTTCCATAAACTTTTCATACCCAAAGTGTAAATTTTTGTCATTTTACTAATTCCTTACTAACAAGGTGATAAACTGGCAATTATTAAAGATGGATTTGTCAAGGGAATTTTGTTTTTATTTATTTTTTTAAAGATATTTTAGAAGATTTATTTATTTATGCATACAAGACCTGGGGTACAGGCCAGAGTTGCCGGGAGCGGGTGAGAGGGTTCACCAGAGACGGAGTAAGGAGCAGAACAGGCAGACTGACTGAAATACACTGCTGAGAGGAACAGCAGGTGAGACAGGAGAGGTCTGCTGTGCCATGTGGGTCAGCTCCCCGGCTGAGGATCAAACGCGTGCTGCAGTGGCTGCAGGTAGCTTCATAGTGCTATGCTTTAATGCCTTGTGCCACCAGGGAGGGCCCTAAAGACTTATTTTATTTATTTATACATACAGTGGCTGAAGTATAGGACAGGGGTGGAGGGGTGGGAGGATGGGGGAGAGGATTCACCAGGGACAAAGTGGGGAGCAGAACAAGCAGACTGACTGAAATACACTGCTGAGGAGAGCAGGGCAGGACAGGAGAGGGCTTCTGTTCCATGTGGGTCTGCTCCCTGACTAAGGGATGGAACACATACTGAGGATTGAACTCATATTGCAGTGGCTGCCGACAGCTTCATAGTTGAAACTTAACCCCTTGTGCACCAGAGAGGCCCCCCAAAATTTGTTTTTAACGCTCAACATATCTGTATATGGATAAAAGAAACTCAAGCAGGCAAACAACTTCTAACCCCTAGACTAGGCAGCCATAGTTTTCAGGAAGCTTCCCACCATTTCCATACTTTGAAGCTGGGTCATAGCCCCTAGACTATGATGAACAAACAGCCTCAAATGACCCTGAAGGAAATCTGGTTTCCTGATTATGTCCCCTTTCCAGAAAGTGGTCCTTCCCAGACTTTCACTTTGCTACCATCCATCTCCACAATCCAGCAGAGGGCAGGATGAGCATAGAAAAACTGCCATTGCAAAACTGGCTTCTGGTGTTAACTGGTTAGCAAACAAGAGAGGTGAGGGAGAGACAGATGTTTCGTCCAGTGAGCTGGCTGGCTCAGTATTTAAGTGGCAAATGGGGTGAAAGTTTTACCTTTCCAATTAAACTAGACCAATTTCACTAACATGATAGTAAAGGAAAATCAGGAGAATAATTATCACACAATTCTATTTGTCCATGGCATATCATGACTTAGAGATTTTCTAACAACCTCCTTTTTAATTTCCACCTTCTATTCAAGGGCAGGAATCCATGTCATCCCTGCAAAAGGACTTTCTCTTTTCTGCATGCGCACCTTGAATGAAAGCCACATGTTCTAACCATGAACAAAATATGCTTTCCATTCCTCAAGAATAAACCTGTTTCAGACAGTGATGTGGCCCTGGCCATGGAGTCAAAGATGAGTTTCTCCTCAAAGATTAATTTTGATCAGAGACATTTTCCAGAATCCCTTCCACTTTCAACTAATACGTTGGCCAAGGCAGTGTCATATGTCGATTGTCAAAATCATCACTGGCAAGAGGGATGGAATTACCATGATTAATCTGAACATTTAGAACTAACCCCCACGCCCCACCCCGGGACTTCGAACAATCTACTTTCTTGAGCATCCAAACACAATTGCAGATTATCTACCAATGAAGAAGAGATGGAATAAAATCAGTTGGATGAGCAGCAGTCAACTCTGTCAACACAGTTCTATCTGTAAAACTGATAGGAGACACTGAAAAATCCAATCACACAGACAAGAAAGTCGAGAGGAGAAACTGAAGTACCCCTCGAGGCCTCACAGTGAGTGAGTCCCAAGCTTGTAAGTACTCAGTTCTGCTGACTCCTGGCCCTTCCCTTTCACGGATTCAATTCAGTGTCTGACTCAGTGACTGCACATGCTGTCCTCACTGGAATAGACAAGTCCAGGCTTCTAGAATT